CATCATCATTTCCAGGAAGCCCACCGATTTCGGTCGAGAAATTGGCCGCTAAAATGTGGAGGACATTGTCGACAGTCTTTGCAGGAGCACCCGCATAGTTGAACAAGTACGGATGCAGAAACCCTGGCTCGTTCCCGATATCGTGAATACCGCTGTTGAGCAGGAAGTCCAATCGATTGACATAGGTTTCTGCACCACCCATGAGGCGGACGACGCTGGCCATATCATGTGGCACCTGGAAGCTGTATTGCCAACTCGAGGTTTCGTAAAACTCTCCACCGTTATCGTTTAGGTAGCAGCTAGTATGGTTTAGCAAGGGACTGCAGAACTTGGGATCTACGATGCGCCAAGTTCCGTTCTTGTATTTTGGCTCGATGAAGCCGGAGAAGTCGTTGTCAGTGACGTTGGCGTTCCAGAGGTTCATCCAGTCTGCCGAGACCTTTGTGTAGTGCTCTGCCTTCTCTGTGTTACCCAGCGCGTTCGCAACAAGAGCCTTATGGGATCTGAATTAGAAGAGTGTTCACAAGGCAATCTCTGTCAGGCTACTCACGATACTGAAGTCGTTGTATGAGTACTCAACCGTTCGGCTAGCGCTCCTCGCCTTGATGCCATTCGGAGTATCATCATCGATGGGAACGTAGCCCAGCAGCTTGCGGTTCTCAATGCCGCCACGACCCTCGTACGTCCAGTCAGGAGGAGTCTAGCGTTGAAGTCAGGAACGTGAACGAGATAGGCTGGTCAGAACCCACCACTTCCGCATCTTTGATCATAGCAGCGAAACCCTCAACCCAGTCAATACCGTCCCGAATGCCCTTGACATATGAGTCCGCAAGGAGACTATCGGCGTTTGATCCCTAATGTTCAGTCAGCATAGACGAAAGAAATATGTGAAGATGTAGGTCATACTCCTTGCGTGAATCCTTTATCGAGCGACATCCTACAGTCCGGCAAAAATCCCGTGTGACGATAGACATCGATGAGAGCACGGACGACTTCCGCTTGTGCTGTGCGTTGTGTGATTGCGTAGAGAGGATGAATCTGCCCAATAATCAGATGGAAGGTTAGACAGCTTTTGGATGTTACCATACAACATGGAACGAGTCCCACTACTCAAATGTTAGTACAGGAACGTCGTATACTGAAGACAACTACTCAAAATGCAATAGAAACCTACACAGATGTTAGCACAGGAACATCGTAAACTGAGGGATCACTACTCACTGTCCCAATATGGCTCAGTTGAGTCCCATAGTGGATTGTCTCCCGTGATATTGGTTGGAGCCAGATAGCTGCGGTAAAGGCTGGACCAGAACAGCACCAAGAGATCCTCATCAGCTCCGGCGGTGTCGAGCTGAACAGCGCCGAGTGTCACATCCCAGGTAGCCAGTGCCGCGTCGCGAGTCGCTGTGAAGGCAGAATCGTCGATCGTGGGTATCTCAGTCTCAGCATAGGCGCAGGCTTTATCGGTGGAGGTCCAAGAGACGCCCATGCGTGCAAGGGCGGTGCCACCAGAGCTTGCAAGGTAGGTATCCGAAAATCTGGCAAGAGTACCTCCTTGACTGCCTTCATTGAAAGTCCTTGAATTGATGTAAGCCGCCCGCCTTATGTTCTTATAAAACAACGTACGCCGATATAGTTCCATTCACTGTTTTAGGAACTGCACTATTGACCCACACTGCGGCAGACGCAACATGCGGGATGTCCAAGCAGAAGTAGACCTGCATCGACACTCAATTCTCGTTCAGCATAGCGCATAGCAGGCGCACGTACAACGTAGGTCCCTGTTCCAAAGGACGGTCTGAACTTTCCTGAGCCAGTCACTCGCAAATCCTCTCCATTTAGCGCAACTGTCTCCTCTCCGCCAGAAAAGGAATGCGAGAGGTCGTTTGTAGTGTCCAGAGCCAGAACTGGCGCGGTCGATGAGCCGCTTGTGAAGTTGCTATAGGTAAAGCGGTACAGAGCGGCGTGCTGTGTTACCGTCATCTCAGCCGTCGTGTTAGATTGCAAGCTAAGGGAGAAGTAGCCTGGGTGTGCAGAGTTGGAGCCCTCGACTCGGTTGACTTTGCGCTCCGATTCGCGCGCGTCGCATCCTTCTAGTCCGCCTGCACAGAACATCGGCAGCAACTTGAACTGAATCAACAGTTCATGAGACCACGAGAGGGGTGATTAAACAAATAATCCAGACCTGTCCGAGGGATGGGCCACCACCAGTACCTGAGGAATGATCAGCACATAGACCAGATCAAAGGAATAATCCCAAGTCCTGTACCATCGTCGTGCAATGGCGAGAAGCCACGGATTGCACTACCGTCGGATACATACCCGGCTTGGTTCTCGCCACTGTCACAGTCCGCTCCGGCCTTGACACTTCCCCACGGCAAGCTCGCGCCCGGGAAAACGTGACCGCCGTTGGTTGTGCCGATGAACTGGTTGACTGCGGCAATTGACTGGTTATTCTTGGTGTTGTGCCAGCCGCACGCCTACTCACCGTACTGGGACGGGCTAGCAACCGTAAAAGCTGCAAGCGCAGTAATGAGTGAGATTGACCGCATGAGTCCCGAAGCGAGTGATGTGGTCGAACGAGTGGGTTCGCAAATGAGTGTGCTGTTGGCAGAAGAAAATATCGTGAATAACAACTCTCACCATGCTGGGCGGGGAACGCGTTGTACGCGTGACCGACGCCTGCTGCGCTCGCGACCACGACTAAGACGAAGCGCGGGGGGATGGGGAGGATGACTGACCGCATCAGAGCAAGAGGCGGGATTCACGCCGTGCTGCGACAAAGCGCCGAAATCAAGTGTGACGCTGTGGCGTAAAACCTTGCCCGACGAGAGAGACAGCCGAAACAGGGCGCTGGTCCCTGGATGCGTGCCGACAACTACGCCTCGCTACTTGGCCTCGTCTTGCTTTTAAGCAGTACAGAGGACGTGCAAGAAGGTACTCCATGCGCGCATGGCGAGCTGCACGTGAGAGAAAACACTGCACGCTATGCAACGACGAAGACAACGAAGGATCAATCGTCTGCGAGAATTATGACAATGGCGATATAGAAGTCCTGCTTCGGCAGAATGCCTACATCTCCTGGCCCATTATTGAGGCAAAGAAAACTGCATAGAGCGACCCTGGGTCTGCGCCGCAGTACACCCAACTCTGATCCAGCTGTAGGGTCCGCTCAGCGGGTGGGTGAATACGTCGCTGCACTTCAGAGGAAGCTGCGCATCAGCTCGAAGCCAAAGAGGGCACGCGATTGTGTTGCATCTGCCGAGCGAGCGACGACCGGCGAAGCGAGAAGAACGGCTCACGCAAACGTTCGGACCAAGAAATATCGGTCTATGGCAGCACCTGACCGCCGGTGCCATGCGTGGCTGCCGCAGCGAAGTGTCGGGCAGTACAGTAAGGAGAGTTTATGTGACCATAAACAACTCCGCCGAGCACCTTTTAGATCGTGATGTTTACAGCAATAGAAAATGTAAGATCAATGGTTTGGGTCTAACGTGGTCTAGGTTTGTAGATATATATTGTGAAACTAGAGACGGGCTGCGGCTGTTGGAATTGCCACCAGTCATGCCGAGTCTCGTCTGGGATCGGTCACTTGTATCGAATGTTGCCATACCTTCTGTAGGACTTCAGGCGTGAGATAAGAGCTGCGAGGCACCTCGTTGCCGACGTCGTCGCGGAAGTATGCTCCGGGTTTGCCCACCGTTGGCTCAAAGAGCGAGTACACCATGTTTTCGGCACAGTCGATTGGCTTGACTCCGATGAACGGACTCACGAGATTGAGTCCAAGTCGAACGGCAAGCGGTAGTCCACTAGTAATGTTCGTTTTGACGATACCCGGATATGCGTGGATGAACGAGACAGTGGGATGTCGTTTTGCTAGTTCCTGCAACATGGGATGAGTGGGATTGAAAGTCTAGTTCACAGTGTGCTCACCACCAGTGCTGCGTTGTTGTAGGTAATGCCAACATTCGCTGCGTTGCTGAGGCTATAGTTCTTCTCAAGCGCCATGTCGTCCAGGAAAATCGGCCCTCCGCGTTTGGAGTCGTAGACAGACATGACACGAGCAGGCTCGCCCTTCTCGGCAGCACTTTCAACCAGTCCGGCCAAGTCTCGGGCAAACTTGAACCGTGAGTAGTAGTGAAGGGCGAGCTGGGAGGGAACAAAGTCAGCCGCGACACTTGATGTCGCTAATTCAAGACCAGTAAACACACCTTGAAGTCTACTCCATCTTCTGTTGGCCGTCGCCCAGCCATACTGAGAATGCCGGCTGTCATGACAAGATAGTTGATTTTGTCGAGCCGTTCACTCAGCTGTTTTGTCGCTTCGCCAACATTGCGCATGCTGGACACATCGCACTGCACGAACTCGTACCGACCACCATCTACGGCTTTCGGGAGCTTGGCAATGATATCGTTGGCAGCCGCCTCGTTACGGCCGATAAGAACGATGTGCGAGCGGCCATGCGTGCGCTCGGCAAGGACTTGGGCTATGGACGCCCCGACACCGGCTGTCCCACCGACAATTACGGCGACGGGACGGATGGCTTTCGGCGCATTGGCAGCATTTGCTGCGAGAACGGCGGCAAAAGAGGGCATGGGAAATGTGATGCAAGGTCGTTTGGCACGGCATCGAGGTTTTTATAATTTGCCAGTTCCGGCGGCCAGCGATGACCGCAGGGGACGCGTATGACTGCCTATGCTGACGTGGTAATTTAACGGATGTTAACAGCTAAGATGCGACGTATGCGTACGATTACGAAGCATTTCGTAAGCTAGCCTATGGACGTGCCGGCCGAAACGGCAGTGCGCGTGCGCAATGCCCAGCCGGCCAGGTGTAGTCCAAAAAAACCCAGTGATTCATTTGGATGATTTAATTCGATGGCGTTGTGTCAGGGAACAAGGGAAAGTGGACAAGAAGCAAAGAAACCCTCGGCGGTTGCCATCCCGGTCCTTGCTCAGAAAGATGCTTGCTACTGTAAAAGCCCACAAGCAAAGGAAAAATACAGCCTGCGAGATTCGAACTCGCGTCGCACGCTGAATTCCTGTTTGGGAAGCGTGCAGCATAACCACTAGCCCAAGACTGTCCTTGATTGACTAGTGGCAGATTCATAATGAAAACGGTCAGCATGTTGCGCGCCTTGGCCACCATTATATAAAGAATGCAGAACAAACACAAATATTGCTCTAGAGAGTAAAACTGAGAGGCTAGCACGACCGAAACTGTGCCTCATTTTGATATATTTTGAGCGTAAATAGATGAGCAAGTTCTCAATTCGCGCAAAGTTGAGCAATAATTAGAACGAATGTTGATAACAGATAGAAGGGCAATCTTATCGCCCGCGGTCTTGAGCATGCGCGATCACTTGCTTCTTCAATTCATCGCACCCGCCAACGATCACCACGTCTTCCACCCACGCTGCCTGATGACCGATTGCCCCGCGTCCTTTCTCCCTCTTTCCATACACACCCCTTCCTCGACCACGACAGACATGACTCGCTTCACCTTTGCATTCGCTACCCTCGCTCTTCTCGTCGTGCTGCTGACCGCGACAACCGTCTCCGCTGACGACAGCGCTCGTCGTGCGCCAGAAGCACCTTCGACTGGCGGCCGCATGCGCAACCCGGCGCTGACTGGCGAGACGCCGGAACCTGGACGCAAACATCCCAACGAGCTCACGGACGAGCAGGTCGCCGCATATGAGGCCGACTTTCAGCGCAAGCTGGCCGAGAAGCAGGCCGCAAAGGCTGCTGCGGCACAGGCATGATCACAGACACACTTCGACTTGATGCGAGCGTTACTGTGAGCCTAGTTCTAAATGCATCGAGATGGAACTAATTGCAGAGCAGAGGGTCTGTTTAAGTTGATCATGCATCTTGACCAGCGCGTCATATTATTGCTGTATCAGACTCGCCATGATCAATGCATTCGCACCGGCCGTTGAAGGCCTCATTTGCAAATCAACCGTCATGGCTGCTCCTAAATTCCGCCTCGAAGTGTATCGATCCCAAATTCGCCACCTGCACCAGATGCCGCAACCGTGTGTTACGATCTTGGCTGGGATCATTCCTTGTTCTCCTTTCAGTTACACTTATCAGGACGGCCTGCTCACAGTGGCATAGAGTAAGAATGATTCCGAAAGCGGGCTGCAGCCTCCCGTCTACCGATGCTCTCACGCTACGCTGTTTTAAAAGTCGCCTTTTCAGAGGCAGGAGCGACGTGGAGCTTCATGTCTGGGTCCAGCAAAACTTTGGCATCGTTAGGTAATTGTGTGAGTGAATAGCGGCATGCCGAGAAGGTCTGATGTTGCGGCAGCTGGATATGAGATGCTGAAATTCGGCACCAGTCAGACCTTGTCGCACGGGAACTATGATGATGCAATGAATCACACTGACACAATACTGGCCAAGCACGGCAAGGCGTCTCTATGAGAATCTTTATCAACGTGGAATGCCGGACTAGACTCAAGCTTTGCACTCATCGGCCGTGCCTCAACGATTCAGCCCTAGTTCTCGACAAATCAGTTGTCAAGCATCATCGTATTTGTATGATGCCAGGACGCAAATGAGCGAGCGTGGGGGATCGGAGCAGGGGGTGCGTGCGCCGAGCAAACGGGATGGGAATGTGTGATTGATGCAGGGTTGTTGGATGGAAAAGGTCGTTGTTGGTGAGGTATAAATGTGACAACAGGGTGAGCGTGTTCCGATCCAGATAATACGGGATAAGTCAAAGAGGGGTTTTGAGAGGGAGGGATCATAAAACAGAGAGGAATGAAAAGGGATATGGCGGAGGTGGGGAGGGGGCGAGGGAGACGTATGCATTGCCACATTACAGTGCCGTGATGGCAAGCGCGACCGCACCGAGGAGCATTGCGATGCTAACGCCAACGTTACTCGCCGCACCTTCCACACCGGACCCAGAGCCGTTGACGCTGCTCTGCTGGCCAGCTGTAGTGCCGTTGGAGCCGTTGGATCCGGTGCTGGTGCCGTCAACATTGCCTGTGACGAGCGCGCCACCCTTGCCGAGCACGGTGCGCAGGACCTCAAGCGCAAGAATGGGCTGGTCTGCGGGAATCATGTGGCCAGCATCCAATACTGTGCGTCGCACCGTCAGTTTATGGTACCCGCACACCGCGCGCAGGATACGCACCCTCATAGTAGGTCAATCCGCGCTCGGTATGTTGAGTGCCGTACTTCTTGCCGTCGAGAATCAAGTCCTCGGTCGGAGCGGACTGGAAGCCTTGCTTCTCAGACCCGGTTGCACCCCAGGTCATGTTCTAGAGCACGACGGTCAGCTCGGCGTGGTTCCCAGGGAGCAATTGTTATGTACCTGGATAGTAAGCCGGGTGCCCTCAGCAAGTACGATCATGTCGTCGAGACCATGCCAAAGTGTCACACCCCGCGGGAGCGAGGAGATAAGGCCAGGAATGATCGTATCTGTGTACGGAGAATCGTCCTATTTCAAGCCCAGTAAGCAACTCTTCGGGACGTGTAAGGTCAAACGTGAACGCACGATACCCTCAGGGAAGATACCGTCGTTGCACTGCGCAAACTCGCCAAAGTTGGGCACGTGAAGCACCTCCTGGACGTCCTTGCGGCTGAAGTACTCCGCAATCGGGTCCTTAGCGGTAGGGCACTTGAGCGTGATGTCGTCTATACATCGCTGGTCAGAAAACTTAGAGGAGACCACGTGACACGCACAGATGCTGAAGCACTTGTTCTTGCTGGATGCGGCCTCGAAGATAGTGTCGAAGGTCATGCACGAGCGCGAGTTGGCGTTCGAATCGTCCCAGATGAGCGGGCCTGCGATGATTTAAGAGGTGGAACCACTTTTTGTGGGAACGACGCACCCTGAGGTGGGTAGGTAACCTGCTTCATCAGGCTGGTGAAACCGCAATCGTCGCTGGCGGCCTTGATCTCATCAAGCTGTTCATTGGTGATACCGAGGTCAGCCTTGCGGGACGACGCCCACACGTAGGTTGGGGCATATTCCGACAAAAGGCTGAAGATGCCTCTTTAGTGTCCATTCACAAAGATGCAAAAGTCACACACAAGTCGCTGAAAACGCCGTCGTTGATAAGGATGCTCTGGATGTCGATCGGGGTGGCCTTCTTTTCCTCGGCGGTCGCGTCGAGAATGCGCTTGGTAATGTAGGGAATGTAGTACCTGTCTCCGAATTAGCCACGTTTTTCTATGAATGAGTGTAAAACTTACCCGGCGTAGGACTCGCCTGCAATGTACAGCTTCTTCTGCAGCAATTCCGGGAAGGTTGCATCTGTCGCCAACCAGCGTCAGCTGTACATCCACGGTATTGCAAATCAAATTGCCTACAGAAGTTGGCGAGGAAGCCATAGAAACGATCTGCAACGTCGTTCTCGTTTGTCACGTCCGAGGTGCCGTTAGAAAAGCCGGTGCCGAGGGGCTGAGGTGGGAAACATGATGAGGTGGAGCGAGTTATGATGGGTGAAGTCCACGGCCGCAGGCAAGAAGCAAGCAAAAGTTAGTCGAACATTGCAACGCACGCGTAGCGAGGCGCACCTGGTCAACGAAGAGCTGCAAAAAAAGCGTGAGATATTTTGCAGGATTGAGCCAAGCGGTGTACTAACCATGTCGGTCACGGTGCTCCACGCGTGCTCGTTCAGCGTTGGCTTATCAGTCCCTGGCGCGTACGTGAACGGACCCAGCTCGCTGAGGGCACCTGTCATTGAGCTACAGCCAGGACCTTCGAGAGATGAGTAAGCTTCTTAGCAGAATGACTGGACGCACCTCCGTTGAGCCAAATTGTAAGCGTGTCGGACCCTCCTTGCGCACTCGACGGCCAATACCAGAAGAACAGTTTCTGCATGGAAGCATTAGTACAAAGTCAGCGAGATAGCTGAGATACGTACGCGTTTCTCAGCTGCGTCACCGCTGAGCGCGATCTGGCCAGCATACGAGTCTTGAACAGTCGCGTCGAGCAATGGAATTTTGCTGCCGTCCACATGGAACGCATCCTTGTCCGCTGCGACTGGGGCAGCAAACACCTTCGGTTTAGACGCAACGTTGGCAGCACCCTTGAATGACGAAGTGGATTTGACGGGACGGAAGCCAAGGGCCGGTTGGAAGCCCTTGGCGGCGTGGATGCGTTCGAGTTCAGTCGACGCGCTGGCGGCAGAAACGAAAAGAGCGGCGGTGAGAACGAGTGTGTTGACCGAGATCATGACGGGCAATGGGGAAAGGAAAGGAGGAGGAGGAGGGAGGGAGAGAAGGGATGAGCAGAAGCCCGTAAGAAACTGCAGAGATGTGATGTCGGATGATGATCATGATTCACCACCAGCGCTTGGCGTCATGCCGGTTGCGATGACATGCAATTCCACCGAAATTGGGATTCTTTGGACTGCCATAAATTCAAAGAGTTAGGAATATCTAAGGCGGCATATTTGTTTTTGTGAGAAGTAGTAGTCCACAACGTCCATCAAAACTACACAACCGATGGCCGTGCAGTTGCCTGCTCGTGTCGCCCCAAAGAGCAGGTCGTTTCTTAGACATTTATAATCGAGACTCCGTTGTTCCAAGTGGCACCTTGAGATGATTCCCAGAAACACAGAGCCGACCTGTGTTCTTATCGTAAATCTATACAGTCCGGCCGAAGTGTCAGCCCATCAATCCACTCGGCACTACCTGCATCAAGCGCACCTTGCACCGCAACGAGAACACACGCTTGCCCAGCGTGATCGTCTTTGAGACTATTTTCAGCGTCACTCCGTGTGGTGCGGGTGCATGGCACACAAAGTCCATCGACAATGTGAGATGCCCTTGCACTATGGGGATGAGAGAGTGCATTGTACAACTGTCATTCAGCCAAATGACCGATTGGGAAGCCAAGGGAGAGAGGATGTCAGCAATTTCAGGCTTTAGAACTGACAGGAGCTACGCGAGGGGAGAAAGACACGCACACGTCAATGAGATAGGCTGTGCAGCCGCCGTGCAACGTGCGGTGGTAGTTCAACATATCTGTCTTACGATGTCAGGAGGCATTGGTTCCGAGGTTCGTCGACAGAAACGCGGCGCACCGTCCCCAACAACTAGTTCACATTCCATCTCGGTT